GGCTGGTGGAGTGACTTAAGTGATAAGACTGCCTGCCTAGCAAACATGAGGACCTGAGTTTGAACCCCAGTGCTGCCATTTAAAAAAAAAAATGTAATATTCAATTATCTATGGCTTCATTTCAATGAACAACATATTTATTGCAATTGATTCATTTCTGTTAACCTTTAATGTGAGTTACAGTTCTACACACAGGGGAATAGGGTGCACCACATGGCATTCAGGTTCATTTACCTTCTGAACACTGGGGAATGTCACAGACTTCGTAGCGTACCTCTGGATTGCTTGTGAAACACCATGGTCCCCCTTCTTCCCCTCGAGGATTTCGACAGTAGTTTTCTTGCAGGTCTTTACCCCGATAGCTCGAAGGCAAAAAGCTAGTTTTAAAATGATAATCATTACAGTATAAGAGCATGCAACTTTATTTTAACCTATTAATTTTTCTAATTATTGGATGTGCTTTTCCTGAAAGTAGAGCAACCCTAGCCTATCTTGTGTTCCTTCATATACTTTAACAATTCTGTTATTTCCATGCATTCTTAAAATACTTGAATTTTATTAAAGTTCACCTAACTGAACTTCTATATTCAATATCAAGTTAAAAATTATTAGTTTCTGAGTTTTCTAAGACTCAAATAATCTATAATTTAATTGGTATAATATAAAACACAATTTCAACTTTCCACTCAAAGGTAGGAAGGCCACTTAACAGAGAACTAAAAAATCACTGCAATCAAATTGGAGGTCTTACTATTACACTGCTTATCCAAGGTCTTCTTTTGTTTTTGCACAATTAAGAAACAGAGTGGTGTCATAACACAAACCAAAGAATCCAGAATCAAATTCAACCTTGACTCCAATTTCAGCTTTCTCTTACCAATAGTGAGACCCCAGTAAGATGGCTTCTCCCAGTCTGTTAACTTATCTAAACACGAGTATAACCATAGCTGGTGTAAACCTTTCCAAGTTGTTTTGAGAAGTTCAAAGAGAGGATGGATCATTAACACTTAAGAAATGTTTCCTATGATTAAGCACACTCCACTTTGTCACCTCTATTCTGTTCTAACAACAGAATTGCATAGTCTCTTCAAAAATTTTGGTAATATTTACCATGACTGAGGCTTGACTCTCCTAACTTTAGTTCATAATAATTCTCTATTGAGTGAAACAACTTGAACACATTGCCTTCTCCTAAAATTTCTAATTCCTTAGTGGTAGTTCTGTTATCTGTATAAAATATTCCAACACATCAGAAAAGGCCGAAGTCCTTTTATTCTCATATTGCTTATGGTATTGGACTCAATGACACTCACTTGTCTGCCTGACTGCACACAAATACTACTCAAAAAGTAATTTTTGAAAGTGTTTTTTTGAAAATCTAGCTATACTTTAGTGTTTAGCTTGATTTTTGTTAAGGAGCTTTATTTCTACTTTTATTGCTCTCAGAGTTCTACATGAATTTAAAGTCCAAGAATTTTAGTCTCTTAATAAATATTATTTAAGTATCCAGTAAAATATCTAATTTAAAAATGGATATGATAATTACCCTAAAGTGGTTAAATAAATGAGTCAAAACATCACATTGTACCTCATAAATAACTACAGATAGTATGGCCCATCTCCAAAAAAAGAAAGGAAAGGAGGGAGGAAGGGAGTAAGAAAAAAGAAATGGAAAAGAAAAAGAAGAAAATTGTCATTTTTTAAAATGTTGCAACACAGAATGAATACAAATATGCATAATACAAATATGCATGTCAGATAAATTTCATTTTGCAATGAAATTCATCTGACATGAATGTACACCAGAGTCAAGTTGTTCAAAAATATAAATTACTGGTCGGAAAGCAACCATTTATTCTGAGAGACTTACATCTAACTAAACATTTTAGGAAACAAGCTAAATATTATAAACATTATGTAACTCCAAAGTGTTGTTAGGTAGAGAGTTATATCCTCACTTCTCTAGCATTATAAATATGGAGAAATGAAAATAAAATATTAAGTCACATGACTGATAAAAGCCATAATGTAATTAAAGATCATCATAATTTCACAGTTCCTCAGAGTAATTGTCAAAAAAGAAGCCATTTGTTTTTGTCCTGGTTTTAGCCCCATCATTCTAGAGTACTTTCATATATCTCTTCTGTTTGAAACATTGCCTGAAATTTATTTTCTTTCATTCTTTGGTACTTCTCCAAATTTTCATAGTAAATTTATATAATATACTCTTTTTTCTGACAGAAACTACACTTACTTTTGCTTCATGTATTTTCCTGAAGCAATTCACTAGCCAAATTTACTTAAGAAAATTCTACTGAAGCTATATTATGAAAAACAGTAGAGTAGTAAGAATTTTTGTTAATCACAAAATCTACATTGTTGCCTCATATACATATCACCTGGCTAGCCTAGAACATAGTTCTTAGACAATTTATTACTTAGTTACAATTTCTTCACTTCAAAGATGGATGAAATGGACAAGATTATTATAAATTGCATTTTTCTGTGTTGTTTTTTAATTAAATTTATTTAAAGAGCTAGTGGCTTTAGCACATGTTTAATAATCAAATATTCACTATTTAGTTTTAGAGGTGACTTTTGTCCCGTAAGAGTAAGAGAGAGACAGAGAGAGAGGGAGGGAGAGAGAGAGAAAGAGAGAGAGAGAGAGAGATATACACATATATCTTTCCATTGGGTTTGTACAAGCCAAATAGAAGATGTAAAGAAACAGTGAATGTATCAGTCAATAATTTAGCCAGAAAAATACAGGTAGGAAGGAAGAGAAAGTAGAAATTAAAACTAAACAAGATCAAAAGACAAAAATAAATTTCCGATTGAAGTTAATAAAATGAAAAGATGGGCTACTTCTACAGTTCTAAATGCATTCATATCAAATTCCTTTTGAGGACATAAAGGTTAAAGAGCAGTCATGGTCATCTCTGCTCTTCATTCTTTGGTATATTTAACCTTTTTTCCAATGAACTGCTTTTCTTTTGTGCCCCCAGGTATTTAGCCTGATTTCCTTCAGCTTCCCATACTTGGCCAAGGGAAGAAGACTAGCTCTGCTCTTTTCATTTATAAGTGTTCATTGGACAAATGTTTATGAAAACTTATTCCACACAAGGCCTATGCTTGGCCATTGGCTCCAAAATAAGGTTTTATTCACACACAGACTATTTTTAGTTCTCTGTCCTTGCTATTAACAAGGATTTAAGAAAGATAAGTGAAAAAAATATTTAAAATTGGGTTACATCCAAATATACTTTGAAATATAAACTAGGACTATGGAGTTCTAGCCCTCCCTTTCTTTTCTTTTAACTGTGTTCATAGGAAACTTGATCTATTCCATCATCTGCTTCATTAATGAATGCTGGGTGGCTAATGAATGATATAGATGTAGATAACAGGTCACCTGATTTTCTGGTTAAGCTTCTATACTAATTTCACCATCTATCATCATCTTCCCATTAAGCCACTTGTAAAATATTTCAATTTAGGGAGTCATCAATAAATCACTCCTCTAGAAAGAAACATGTTCCTTTTTCTGTTTCCCATAAAATTAATCTTCAGTTAACACTTAACTAAGTATTAAGCTATCATGCAGATATTATAATAAGCTTCTTATTGATGGAGCTTATTGTTGTTTCCATTTAGCACAAAGAGGATGTGATTAATATGCAAGATTCTCTTAACTATAAACCCCTATCACAAGGAAGTATTCATTGGTAAATGAGCTGGTTGGAATGGGAAGCAAGTTGCCTGGGAGGTCTATTTCACATTTACTTCTCTAACAGAGAATCACAATCCTAGAGAATTTGGGCTGAAATAAGACCTCTACTAGGTCAGTCTAACACACTCTCCTGGAGTAAGGTAGGATTGATCTCAAATGCTATTCCTTTGTAAAAAATAGATTTAAGTGACATGTTTTTTCATTAGGCAGATGCTTAAAGGAAGACAAAGCCTGTTGTATTTCTTGTTTTGAAATATAAATATACTACTGTGTTTCAGAGGTATTCCTATATAATTGTTAGTAACTAATCTGAGTAAATTATTGTTTTCTATCATTGAAATACTAGAGGAGCTGATCAGCTTGGACACTTAGTAGCTGGTGTCAATTAGATCAACATCATAGGTTTATCCCACTATGGAACAACTCAACTAATACCATTTCTTTATATGTTGGCTAGTTAACTTATCTGTTTACTAAAGCAAAATCATTCAGCTTACAAAATTGTATTACAAAACTAAATGTAATGAAAATTGTATTCATCAAGACAAAGTCATCACATTTTGTTGTTGTAAAAATGAGTCACAGCATGATTGCTACAGACAGGCCAAATGTTTCATGCCCTAGGGTTATCACCAGCACAGGTAACAAGAGTGATACTGGCTGGGTTTATGTTCTGAGCACCACTTACTAATTGCGTATTGCACCCTGAAAAGTATTAAGTTTTCTTATGCTGCAGCAATACTATGTGTATAAATAGACTCATAAAATTACACTCTGTATTGTTCTCATGAGGATTACATGAGATAAACCAGTAAACTGCTCAGCATTTAATGACCAGGGAGGAGTGCTTTTAAACTACATTATGTCTTATTAAAATTATTTGTGAAAGAAGTCTAGAGAAGTGTGGCTATATTTAGTTTTCTAGTAGATATAGGATATTTATATTTTTTCTCCATGATGATTAAAGCTCTCAATCTTATAAGCATATGGATATTATTTTTATTGGCTTTTAAACAGTATTCTTTAAATAGTATTCTCATTATATTAGACATAATTGTCTTCAGGGTAGACCTTTAATTTCCAAAGGCTGAGTTTTCTGTAGTCTTTAGGCAATAGCAAAAAATGGGAAAGTTGGTAAGTCTGAGGCATGAGCTTTTAGCAGAGATTCTCAACTTTGGCTGGACATTGAAATCCTCTAAGGAGCTTAAAACAATATTGGCACCTTACTTCCCCAAGAGGCTCTGATAAAGAGTTTGTGTTACCCCCTTGGGGTAGGATTCTTCAAGGACTTGCAGTGGGTGAGTGTAATGTGCAGCCAATCTTGAGATCCACCAAGATTAAAGAATACTTAGACTCTGTAAGATCAGAGTCTAAATCACAGCTCAACTCTTTGGTTGCAGAGTGCATTCTCAAACGCAAAAAGAAGAAGAAAGATTTTTCTCCTCTTAGATGAAGTTTTCATTATTTGTTCCCAAACATCTAGATCTTATAAATTGAGGTACAAAATATTAGGCCACATTTTAATGATAAATTTGTTCGTCTTTTGGTACCTATCAGTCATGGGAGACTGTTGGCACACAAAAAGGAAAAGCTATATCCTCTTTTCTTCATGCTTTTCTTACCTGTGTTCGTGTGGTATCATGGAATTCCAGGGCTGGCACTTGATGCCACTCTTTGTGATAGACACTGTTCCCTTGTAGCTGCCTCCTTTACCTATGATGCAATTTCTAATGTAGTCTATTGATGAAAGCAGAGAAAAATGTTATAACTATGGGAAACATGTGCTGTATTTATTAAAGAGAAAAAAATAAAATTCCACTCAAGCCTGCAAGTAATTGACTCTTGAAAACTATTTCAAATAACACTGAAATTTCCTCCCTAAAGCTTCTATTAGTATTTTGAAAATAACACATTTCATAATAATCCAAAACAAACAAACAGCACACTGTCGAACAGTTTTAATGTGTAACTGTAGAGATTAGTCTCTGGACTTAACAGATATTAGCTGATATACTCAACTAGCCAGGCAACTATGATTTCTGAAATACATAGACCTAACAAAATACTAAAAACAAAAATAAAGTGATTTTTTAAATCTATCTTAAATTCAGGGAATGACTTTAGTAGTCCCTGAATTAGTATACTAATTTTTCATAAAATTGGCTGAGTTTTTGCATATACTTTTGCATGTATAAGATAAGTATGTTAGTTGGTTATCATTTTTAAATATTTTTTGCTACCATTTCAGCTGCTAACTTCTAAGACAACTGAGTTGTAAGAAGCTTTATATGCATATCAAAGAATAAATACATGCAGTTGTTAACAAACTAAAAGAAACGTTAAATAAGAATGTTCTTATGTTAGATCATGAATTATGTTTACAATTTGTAGAATTATTGGGATATGTAAAGAATATCTTAATTTCTCCCATGAACTGATTTAATTGAATTTAAACATTAACATAACAAACATGGAAATATGTGGATATAGTGTCAAATATCCAAACTTGAAAGGATATGTTTTATAAAACATAAACATTAAAATGAGTGTTATTTTCATAAGTATAATACATAATTATTATTTTGTGTGATGAAAGATTTAATTTGTACAATTTGTATTTATTTAACATTCTCTGATTATTTCATTCATATAGTTATATTTTGAACAAAGTAAACACCTTGTGATCACCAGAATAGGCAAATTAAATAATAATGTCTCAATTCCTCTCGCAATTTTTTTAAAAAGCATATGATAAATACAGATCCAATTCACTTATCCAAAATCTCCATATTTTATTATTGACAATTTATCACTATATTAGTCATCCAAAGTTGTTAATGTGTAAAATACTGTGCTAAGATCACAATCTAGCCAATTCTAGGAGATTGCCAATTCTAGGAGAAGTCACTTGAAAAAAAGTCAAAAAGGGAGCAAGGAATTCTAGATTTTGGGAAATGCTCTCTTTAATCTAATGTACCCTGCTAAAAATAGAGTACTTCTTTCCCCGGTCTTAAGGATTGACAGTGTAACAGACCAGCCAGCATGTAATAGAAAAATCAGTGGGAAAGAGCAATGTGGCAGAAATCATAAATGTGTGTTTCACATTTACTTCATTATACAATATGTAAGAAGTCAGTTACCTTTGTTTTCGTAGAGGTCAAATTCATGGCCGAACCCTTTTTTCACTCCACTTGACATGCTATTGAAAGGGAACCAGAGGCATCGTTTTCTTGCTTTATCAAAAACAAAGGCCCTGAAAAAAATATCTGAATGAAAAGAAGGAATACTACTATTTAACCATTTTTAAAGAACGGGTGCATAGTTTACCAAGGAGGACAATACAAAAACAGATGCATTATTACATAGCATTATAAAATATAAGTGATATATGAACCCACCATTTTGGTGGCCAAACAAGAAAAAACAAAATAGAGTTTTTGTAGGAATAGATTTAAATACTACTTGGAAAGTTATGTTATTCTAAATCACCTACAGAAAAATAAAGGCTTTAATAAACAAAATTAACATGTAACATAAGTCAATGTTTATTATATAGGTTTTCTTACATATACATTTTTAATTTAAAACTCTTAATTCTTTGGATACATACTATAAGAAAACTTACTAAACTATACCGCCCTACAAGTATGATTCCTATATGTTAACTATTAATTTTGTTGTTGCTACTCATTAAATAATCTTATATAAAATAAAATGATAAGTTGCTTTAAAAAAGAGCTAAAAATTTTTAAGTACTTGCAACCAGAAAAGTTTACTGATCTCATTAACCTTTTTTCTCGTTCTATTACCATGACATTTTCTCACAGAAAAGATTTTTAATATTATTTTACACCTCCATGTAAAGTATGTTGAGCCCATCAAATACCTTGGGTTGCTCTGTCATGTAAGCTTGACTTTAAGTATCTTTATCTTAGGCTTGTTTTAATTATCAGCTTTTCAAAATTTTATTTTGTTGGTTTTCTAGTTGTTTATGTGAGGAGGGCAATTTCAATACCAGATTAAATGATTCTGGTCCAAGTTTGGAAAAAGGACACTTTGACTCATTAAGAACCCAATTTCAGAATATCATAGTAACCCCACTCATTCTGAATAAACAATGTATTTAGTGACAAGTGAGGAAGAGTCACCATTTCTGGGCAGAAGAACATTGGTTATACATAGGTAATATTACATGCAGTTTTCTGCACAGGCTGCCATACATTTGGTTACTAAATATAAAGTAAAAAGCATATGGTAGAAAAGTACGGACCTTCATAGAAGGGATATGTGAATATTTATTAATAAGATCACATGTCCTCTCCAACACAGCTAAGTAATTCTTGTCTATTCTTAAATAAAATGAAGTAAGAATGATGAGTGTGAAAATCGAGTAATAGGAGTACTTTTCTTACTTGTGGACTGTGAAGAGTATAGTTTCAGATTCAACCTTAAAAAGCATCACTTGAATGTGGTTCTCCCATTACCTTTGCCTTAACCTTCCAACTCTGAGAAGAGAAAATACAACTCCAACCTGCTCAGTTGCTTAAAAGACATTTACATCAACCTACACAGCTGAGATATTGATTGAAAGTATGTTTTTTCTGATTTATTTTACCAGTCTCAAGACTTTTATTCAAAAGTCAGGAAGTAGAACAAAATCATCTATGCATATACTGCCAAAGACAATTCCCACTCCCCTTGTCTGGAAATCTCTCTCTCAAAGTGGAGTTTGGGTCAAAGAGAAAGAAGACTATTTTTCCTCCGCCCTTTCCCAGCAGGTCCTTCCCACTCACTGTTTTGAGACAAACAAGATAAAACTGAAACACTTGCCATGTCATTTATGTTTCACTATCCAAATGTAATAAACTAGAATTCAAAATGTATAGATTTTGTGTACAATCTTATTTTTAAGGGATAAAATAGGAAATAAAAGAATAGAATATAAATGATGATGTAGAATGTTTCTGAAGAGAAGGAAACGCATCTTCTGGGAGTTTGGGAGACTGCTGTGATGAAATTCTTTTCTTACTGATAAAGTAGTAAAGAATTCTCCCCATTAGGTCACTCAGGACTGTCACAAGACAAGAAACTCTCTATTTGAGTTCTCTCGGGCCTCTTTGAGTTGCTCCATCACTTTTCACCTGAAACTTCATCATCGCTATCCCCTGACTTCCTTTAAACAGCCCCTGTTCCTGACACCAATCCCTCACTTTTTTATCTAATTCTCTCAACACCTTTTATTTCAATCCCTAAATACAAAGATATAAGTGCAATAAATTTTGGCTGTTGCCCAATTTCTGTTCTGAAAATTCCTCTATTTCCCTTGCAAGAGGGGGAAGGTGTTTACTCTGAATAGAATATGATTAAATGTTAGAGATAAAAGTCAATATAATTTTATTTTAGTTCCTGAATTTAATTGCTCATAAGATGAGAAAACAAAAACCCCATAACCAAAGCCACTGTGAACTTTGGAAGACTTTTTTGGAGTCTCCTTTACTCAAAACATTTTTCTATCAACTGAGAGATAAGTCTTAAGTTGTAATGAGTTAAAACTATATTCAAACTTAAGTTAAAGGAGAGAAAAAAATCATGATAATAATGTGTGCATACTGTATTTACAAGTTATCCTAAGAACAAAATGAAGTAACTTACTTGCAGGTGAATGGAAGTCCTTTATTCCTTATACATCTGTTGGCACACTGGTCTGCAGCATTCATTTTTTTGGTTTTAATCTTAAGTAATGGGTCTTCTTTGATTAGAGTAGTCTTGGCTGACTTTTTGAATTCATGAAGTGTATTTCTTCTTTTCTTTTGTCCCTCTATTAATACAAATTTTTTTTAAAAAACATGAAATAATGTTTTTAAAGCTTGCAGAGAAAAAAACTATCCTTAAGAATCATATGCAAGATAATGATTTTATCTGACAATATACTAGGCCTCCAGGGATTGGGGATGGAGGGAAGTGGGAAACAGTTAAGAGCAAGAGGAGAGTTATTATAGACAGGGAATAACAAATAATGTGCCATGTTGACTCACTTATTTACTCTTTCAAATGAAAGATCCACTTTCATTTGTTCATAAGAACAAAGTTTGTTCCAAACCTTAATTAAATAACTCTAAAGCAGTAATTATTAGACAAATAGTTAGGACAGAGTTCATCCTAAAAAAATTATGTTCTCTCAACTGCTAAAAACCTACCATGTGATGCTTTAAAATTAAACTTTTCATTTTCTTCCACAATTGTTCCTCTGGTAAGTTAGAGTAGTAATTAGATAAGAAAATTCAAAGACAAGTGAGAAACTTCTCGGAAAAAACTCCACAATGGAAAAATTCTTCTAGCTTGCTCTTTAAAGTGTTTGATACTATTCATATTTTAGCTCCTGTTTTCTCATTTCCTACATTAGTGTATTCTGTGCTTTGGGCACTATTTCTTAGTATCACTGAACTGTTTGTCTTGACATCAAGCCAAATGCTGTAAATCAAATGTATGTAAAACTTTATCCTTTAATGTAGCAGTATCATTTTTCTTCATGAGGATACAAGGCCCCTAGCTATCATGAAGCCTCCTACTAAAAACTGGAAAACAGAACAAAAACATCCTAAAAGTCTTAATCTTATGGACAATTTGAGAGTATCAAGAACTTGTTTCTTTGTTCTCAGTTTTCCCAAAGTCACCCTAATCTAATGATGATCACTATCCTCACAATATAGAGAGAAATGTCCACTATATTGCAGCTATTGTACCAGAATTATGGAAGCGATTGTGTTCCTCTGCCTGTCAATTTGTTTGAACACCTCATAACAAAGGCAGTAATAATGCATTCATTTTTAAGTTGAAGGAACCGACATAGGGGAAAATTGATTGACCACTTAGTAGATCTCAGATTGGAAACCCTTCTGGCCTGGCTTTAGAACTATCACTCTGAACCACTTATCATGCCATCTTTATCTAAGAATTGCTAAGAATGTATGTGGAAATATGATTTATAAGTATTTTCTGAAGATTTGGTACAGAGCTATCAATCAAGAAGAAACTTGGATAGTAGAGTAGGAAATGCATTCCTGATCTTTTTATGTTGTGAGATGTGTCAAGAAAAGAGAGTGAAACTTTCTGTGCAGACTATTTGGAAATATGGCTAAAAGAGTGAGGTACCAAGAATGGCATCATACCTTAAGTTTGCCAGCAATCACTGGCTCCAGTTGGTTTACTAAACATACAGATGCTACTCATTAATGTCTAGCCTAACCTGAAATCCACAATAAATAAGAGAAAACATGTGGTCCTCTAAATTTCTAGTTCTCTGTAAAACTCCAAAATAGTCTCCATTAAGGCTGGCACCAATGCCTATATTGATGCTTTCATCTTTAACTTTTCTTTGCCCTATAAGATGGAATGGCAAGGATACAAGAGACACAGTTTAAATGATATTTTAACTTTGAAATTAAATCAAGCAAATAATCTATCAACATGTTATTTAATGAGTGCGGGCCTGATGTTTTGCATAACACTGGCAGACAAATGATAATTCTGGCATTCTTACTGACTCGTCAAATGACATTGCTTAATTACCTGAAATGTTAATATATCATTAGCCTACAAAAAGAAAGTTACATTAATGATGAATCAAAATGAGTTATTTAAACTATAATCATTAAGTAAATATGTAGAACTCAGTTTGGATAAAAATATTATGAATATGCAGAGGTTTAGCTTTGTATTTGAAATGTCATCCTTTAATTACATAAGAGAAGAAACTGATATTCTCTTAAGCAAAGAAGGGATAATTCTTTTCACATTTTGGTTCCAGTCACAGAGCTATGTTAACAGAAGATAAGTTTTTCCATTAAGACTTTCTCCTTCCTTTGATCTTAATTCACTATTTCTTTGGTACTCTGAGATAGTTTACAGCATAATAATAATTTGATTCCTGCATAAACATCAACATTTTCTAGAAGTAAATAGGAGTTAGTTGACAGAGAAAAATCTATTTTAAAGTTGTTCACCAAAATGGAAGAATTATCCACATGTATATAACTATAAATGTTATATATATACATATGTATACTTCTTGAATGGATTCTATTTACAAAAATATAGAATTAAAGTTGGTAAAATTATTATAAATATCTAAGGATAAGAGAAGACCATAAAAATAATTTTAAAAGGTCTAAGACAAACATTATGTTGCTAAAGTATTTTAGTAATTGTCATTTAAAATAGAACCCCTGGTCAATGTTCTAGCTTCTTTTCTCAAAACCGAGCAGTATTAAGGTAAGCAGTGAAGACTACTTGGAGAAAAGAGGTCTCTGTGCAATTATTGGCCATGGTATTTCTACAGATCTTCAGTTGTTCTATTGAAATGCATTAATGTATGATTGTGCCTCACAAAATAGCTTATTGTTGCTTATTAGTAAGTTTTCTATCACTAAAGATCAAAAAGCATTCTGAAGAATAAATAAAAGTACACTTTCCCTTCATTAGAAATAAATAGAAATCAAAGGCTTATATTGGCTACCAAGCTTATCAGAAAGTATTAGAACTAGATACCAAGATTTCCTCCTCATTACTTGCTCCTCATGACATATGAACTTTCCATATAAGTAAATCATTTATGCTAGGTTGGCAACTAATTACCCAAAATATGAAGCTCAAACTACTGGTATATCATGTAATCCATGTATCTATAAAATTAATTACTTATTCAATAAAAGAAAAATTCAAAACAGAAGTCATTCAAAAACAGCATCTGAAAATAAAATTCCTTTGCTGAAAATAGTTTCAACTTTCTCTTCCATATGTATTAACAACTGATGCTTGTTTTACTGAAAACAACTAAAAGCCAAGCTTAATTTGGGAAGAAACTCAAAAATATCTTTGGATCAGATTTTTCCCTACTATTTTTTGTTGCGACTGTTAGTTGAAATTTATAAACAAAATATTGAAACGAAATTGAAGGGTGAGAGATCACTGCAAATTTGTCATGCTTTCTTGTATTTGAAAGCACAACTTTTCCTTGTCTCTCTGTATGGGAAAATATTCTGGAGGCTATATTTCCTGAAGAACCTGAAGTCTCTGTTTTGGAACTGAAATCTTACCATCCTAGTGAAAACCTACAAATAGAAAGCAGGGTCAAATGTATCAAGGTGCTTGAAGAAAGATGCATTTCTCCCTCTGGTCCTAGGGCCTCACACTCATTTCTCTCAGTACCTCATATATTTTCTTCTGTGTGGAGGAACCACTGACTTCAAAGGAAAATCACGCAAGGAAAGGATTTGCAGAGTGTGGAAAGAAGCAGGGATCTGGCTCCACATAACTGAAAAGCTACCAACATGATTAGTGATTAACAGTTTGAACAGGCAAGATGTTAAGATGAAAGTATACAAACAATTAATGGAAGGGAATGATTTGGACTATAGAGTTTAAAATTCTGAACGGCAAGAATCAGAAATAGAAGTCTAAATCTCCACTGCTATTATCTAGGACTCAGATTTTACTCATCAATAAGCATGTGCTCTTCTTTAGAGAAGGCAACCATATCACAAATAAAGTCAGAAGAGAGACTGCAACATCATAATCTCTCCAAAAGACATTTATAAAATGAAGTGATTGATGTGAGTTTAGGACCCCATCCTCCTCCTTTCTATTTCCTTGTTCAGAGTTTCATTGTTGTAGAAGCCTCATCCTGTCCTCTGCCTTCACTGTTTTGGCTATCACTCACCCCACACAGAAGCCAAAGCAACCACACTGAAGTACAACTTCAACCAAGTATCTTGTCAGTACAAAACTTTCAGCTGCTGTCTACAACAGCTACTATAGAGACCACATGGCTTAGCATAACATTCAAGGCTGTCTATTCTGTCCCATCTTACTTTTCTAATCACAAGTCATATATATGTTCCCTCAGGTACCCAAGTCAATTGCTATTTGAAAGGCTTTCTGAGGCATCCATTATACTTTCTCGCCTCTACAGTTTGGGCTACTTTTATTCTTCTGGGCTTAGATATCAACTAAGCTACCACTCATTTTTTCATATTTGCCTTGGGTACCACATAAATGAACTCTCAACCGTGGTATTTCTAACATAGAGGGTACTTCTTTTTAATAATAGTCAAATGATTTTTCAAAAGTAAATTTGAGTTGATTTCACTGTTGCTGGATTCATTATAAATAAAACAATCACATATTTTATTCATGTAGAACCTAGTAGGAATATCTGCTCTATCATTAACTAAGAGAGATAATAAGATAATTAAGGTCTTTAAACCTTAATTTTCCCATGTAAAATGAATCAAATAGTGTCATTCTTCTTAAAACGAAACAAGCTTTACTTTATAATTTGGTCCATAGGGATTGCTCAGCAAACACAGGCTTCTTTCCTACTTGTTCTTCTTTATATTCCCCAAAGACTCTTATACAGTAGGTGCTCATTTAATGCTTAAGGAAAACAGAGGATTGGATGTTTGTTTCCAATGTCAGTGTGAGTGACTAGAGTGTAATTCTATGTAGAACAACTCCTGTAAGAATAGCTTAGGCCAACCACATTGACTATTTCTCAAGAAACTTTTAAACAAAATATCTCCATAATACATTCTGTTCATAATTGCTTGTCAATATTATAATATCCATGTCTTTTTGTAAAGGATAACCAAACCAAGTAACAACAGCAATAAAAATTCTAAATGTTCAATATTAGATGACATTTAAAAAGAACCAAGCTATATATTCTAAGAAGGTTACCTACGTTTTTCATTTTGAAGGTTATTTAAAATAAACTATCAAAATAAACTTGCCACCCTAAGGTGGAATTTCTTTTGATGATAATTCTAGCATTCCACACTTCAGGAATTATTCATAACATATCTCTGTAATCCCCAATGGCCTGTTCTTTGCCAGCCAGCACAGTCTTGAGCTGCTTTCTCCCTATACTCAGGAAACGCAGTCATTTCAACATTAGCCAAAGTGAGATATAATTACAAATATATATCTCCTGCCAAAGCTTTGCACTGCAAGCCAAAAACAAATAGCCATTGTCCATGGTTGATCTACTGTTTGGGTTTTCCATATTGTGCTCTGCTTGCATTGGAACAGTTTATTTCAGGTGACAATATTGTACTTCAAAATGGTAATATTTTCATCTTTGTCTTTAAGGCAATCAAAAAGTTAACCAGGATTATGTTCCACATCCTCTAAACTAGCAATATCTTATAAAAAATCCATTTTAACATGACACCTCTCATGCCATGATAGCCTGCTTGATTTAACTTCTTTTTCACTTCAGAAATCCTATCTACATACGTTCAAACTGACTCAAATAACGTCATCTCCCAAAAGGGCCATTTCCCGATACAGAAGAAAGACAGGTGTTTTAAATGACTTTTCTTATCATTTAGCAAATCTTGGTGTCTTCAACCTTTGTATTGCATCAGAAAGTAGATCAGAGGTGTGATAAATTTCATATTTAACTTCTTTCAGAAGATACAGTCAGTTCTCTGTTTTTATTTTAATTGCAAAAAGGCCATGTCTGCCATCTGAGCATTTGCTCCACTCTTCTATTCCCCTGTGTCTACCCTTGACATTCATTGACTTCTCCCACTGGCACCCCAGCCCAGCCACTGCAATGATAGTACAACCAAATACAGATGTTTCCTCTTGTCCTGATTATAAGAGAAAACTTCCCAAAGCAGAAAATGAGATCTCTTAACTTCCAGGCAATCTGAACTCCCAAACATCTCCACCCCAACCTGCAAGTCCAAGGAAGAAAGTGCAGGACCTAAGGGATCAGTTCTGCAGCCTTAATCTAAGTCTCACAGTTTTTTTGCCTCCCCTGAACTGAAGTTTCAGAGGAAGGTCATCCATGCCCAGAAAGAAGGAGAGTTTAGAAGACAGGCTTTCTCTTTCATTTTTATAGCATGCATATGCCAGAATTTCATCTGCCTCCTCCAAATGAAAACCTATGGAACGTCATAATTTGGACCTGGATGTTGTCTGGATGATGTGGAGCTGTGGCTTATTGTAGAAAATTATTCTTTGGAAAAAGATGAGTCCCTGATGGACTGACCATCACTTTCCCCTCTTCTGACCAGACTTTTTTTCAGCTTCAAACTTGTCCAAACCAACTAAGTTCCAGCCCTTGTTAGCACTTCATTCCAATCCCTTAATTTGGGAGTTTCGCTAAATGAGGTGGGGCTGGGTTGGTTGGGGGAGAGGTCGAAGAAGCATTGAGAGAATGCTAATTATCATTTTAAATGCTTTCAAACAGAAAAAGAATGTCAAAAGAAAGCACGGTGAGGGGTTTTGAAATCCCTTACCACACACGGAGTGAAGCGAGGATGCTGGCAACAGGGCAAGGAGTGTGTTAGAGGGAAAGGGGAAGGTTAGCAAGAGAGAGAGGTAAAATAATAATTAATAACGAGGCAGAAGAAACTAACCTGCATAGGGGATGGCGATGGGGAGCAGAAGGAGATGAAGGAGGACATGCTGCAGCAGCAGGACTGGCAGAAGTTTGGTCACCCACATGGTGCTGCGGGACGAGCTGGCGGACCCCACTGGAGGAGATGCCCGGGTGAAAGAATCCTGTTCGGAGTCAGTGCCTAAAAGAGCTAGTCGGCTCAGGGCTGCTTTTTATTGCGATGAGCTAAGTTTGTTGTGTGATTAACTGGAAAGATCTAGGTCTGAACTCCCTCTTACGGTAAGAAACTGTTTAACAACAGCCCTTTACTCTCTTCCAGCCCCCTCCGTTCCTCACTCCCCCCACCACAACACCCAATAGATCCCAGCCGCCCTCTCCACAGCCCCCCCTCCGCCCTTAAGAAAGAAACTTACAAAGAAGAGGTCACCTGGCCCAAGGCCAGCTTTAATTTGGAAGCTCTAGCTCCAGATCCTAGTGGCTCCTATCCGAGTAGGGAAGGGAGGAGCAAGACTCAGCCCAATAGCTAAGTCAAGGCACAGGCAGGGGACCAATTCGCTCATTTGAAACAGGAAAATACATGTGTTTACATATCTATGTAAGAAAAGAGGAAGGGGAAGCAGCATAAGAAAAAAGCAATGAGCTGCCTTTCTGCCAAATATGCCCTCGCTCCTTTCACTGCAGGAGCAATCCTGGGATTCAAAACACTAACACCCTTCCCTGGGGTTTTAAAGAGTCTGAGAGAGGAGGGAGGGAGGCCAGGGGGCAGAGCCCAGGAAAATCCAGCCCAGGTAGGAAGGGCTCAGGTAAGAAAAGGGCGTGTAGCTCTCTGGTACACAATGAAATAAACAAACAAAACCAAAGCACCCAGGTTGAGGAAAAATTGTCCTGCCCTGTGGGCTCAGAGCAAACAGCTTTTTTCAAAAGCTGTTCTAAACTCCCAGGTCACCACAAATAGACCCAAAGTGTATTTTATAAACTTGTCTGATTTCTCTGGGGATACTTTCTCTTAAAATGTCTAAGAGATGGACATTGTCCACTGCCTGTCCATGACAGGTAAATTTATACAGTAGACTCTATGATCTTGTACGCACATGCACATATGTATGTATGTGTGCACTTTAAAGACAAACTTTCAGGGGAAATCCCTCAAGTTATTTCAATACCTGAATAACGAATGTACCTCCTTTCTCCAGCTCTAGCCTCCTGCATTCACCCACCAGCTTCCCAATGTCTGAGCTGAGCAGACTGAGGAAGAGTTTGCATGGGGGTGAGGCGATTCACAAAGTGTCACATTTTAGTGAGATCACTGCCCAGACTTCTCATTTTATTCGGAGGATTCTCCTTTGCAACTGGAGCAGGATGCCCTGATTACTTTAGGGACCAGCTTGCTCTACACTTAATGTGTTTTGAAGAATAGTTGCCTCCGTATTTCTGAGATGGGTACCAGGAAGAGCTAGCATTTCTGTGGAGACAGCGGAAGAGAAAGTGAACAGAATGTGGGACTGATTCCACCACGCTACAGCATGGGGGCTGAACGGAGCTGGTAGCAGGCAGCGTGGGAGTCAGCACTGGACAGCCTTCCCTCCTCCTCCACATACCTCCTCCCATCCCTCTTCTTCCAGCATTCTGCCTCCACCTTCAGATACAGAAAGAGAAGAGAAAAAAGAAAGAAGAAAGAGAGAGAAACAGAGAAAAGAAAGAAGAAGAAAAGGAATGAGGAAAGGAGAAGTTGAAAAGGGGAGGGAGGGAAGAGAGGGAAAGAAAGAGAGAGGGAAGGAAGAAGAAAAAAGAAAAAGGCCTATTTGAGTCAGGTGCAGTGTGGTACATGCACTACTGGGGAAGCCAGGACAAAGGATTTTGGTTTGAGGCCAGCCTAGGCAAAAATAAATAAGTAAATAATAATGAGTCCTCTGTGTCAAAAACCAATCCAGGGATGGTGGGGCATGTCTATAGTATCCCCTAGCTACTTGGGAGGCCAAAGTAGGAGGAAGCTGTCTAAGGTCAAGATGCTATCTGAAATCCAAACTAAAGTGAAATGGCCTGGGTGGTGGCTGAAGTGGTAGACTGCGCTTGCTCCAGACCTTGAGTTTAAGTCCCAATATCTCGAGGAAAAAAAAACAGGTCTTGCCTGGGGGTGGGGGGGTTGGAGGGGTGGGGTTTGATACCAGTGGGGCGGGGAGAGGGAGAGGAAAGGGGGTATGAGGGTGAATATGGTATAAAGACAGTGTGCACATGTATGTAAATGGAAAAACAAGAACTGCTAAAACTATTCCAGGAATGGGGGGGGTGATTAGGGAGAATTGTGGAGGGGATGAATTCAAGTATGATATAGTTGATACATTTTGAGAACTTTTGTAAATGCCACAATGTACTCCCACCCAGCACAACAATAAAAAAGAAAAAAACAGACCTGAGGTGTGGAGTATATTACTTTTTGCTTACCTCTGGTGATCCAAGTGTTCATGCTGCATTCATTTTGCTATCCACCACACTTGTTGGAAAGTCTTGACATCACTGTGTTACTGACCATGCTCCTGAATTGTCCCACACTGTAATGAAGTCTCTGGCTTCATTACAGATTAAAGGTGCTTTTAAAGAAGGTAGATTTTTCTATAAGTAAAACTTGTAGGTAAAAAGTAAAGGAAACCAGACTTTTTTTTTTTTTTTGTCACTGCAGAGAAAGGTTGTAAACATAACAGCAATTACTGATATAAATTTAGGGCAAAATAAATCTAGGATAAACCAGAGAAATACAAGGATAGTAAGCAAATGTATTATTGGGTCCCACATTTTCAGAAGTTTTACTGACATGTTAAAATCTATTTAAAATTATATATTTATATTTCTTTTTCATCACAGTTGTTTTCTCTCTATTGAAGTCATAGCTAGCATTACTTTTAGAATACATTAAGCATACTAACTACTCTTAAAATTGTTTTATCTAATCCTTACAATAAACTTAAGAATTAGTATAATTCCATTTTTACATTTGAGTATAGTTAAGTAAATTATTTTGTATTTAAATAAAACTATTCGAAGTCCCCAAGGAACAAATATTCAGATGTGAGCTTCAAATACATTGGTCCACAGGTTGGACTCAACGTCTGTAATCATGTTCAGTATTCTAATGGCCAAAATTAATCTAAGACCAATGTGTAAGAGAGGCTTAATAATAACACACAAAGTAAGCTGGGCTCAGTGGAACCTGCCTGTATTCCCAGCTACTTGGAGCCCTGAGGCAGGAGGATCGTGAGTTCAAGATCCATCTGGGCAACATAGCGAGACTGTCTCAAAACAAACATGAAAGTAAACCAATATATAAATAATTTAAAATCTTCCAGGTCAATAATGGAATATTCCAATGAAATAAACTACCAGTTATGCTATTATTTCACTGTGTCTTGCTAGCACATTCTCTTTCTTCTGTCTAAATCACAATAATAGTTTCCTCTTCTGCAAATTACCTTTATACTCCTTACGTGTTAAACTGGTTTTATAAATTCCAAAATTTGTGTCAGGAGAGAATTTGATAAGAAGGAAAATTTTGCAAAGAGAATACTTTAAATGTCACAACGTCCATAATTACTTAAATATAGATGGATGTTCATTGATACATAGTATCATTCTAAATCTGCATAAGATTAAATCTTTTGTATGCCACGTAATCTGGATCGATTAAATGGAAAAGTGTACAATAGTGTATTTTATTAAAGACTACTTAGTTAAACACACACACACATTTCTTTTTCAAAAGCCCATATTTCTCAACCACATGTAATGTCTGCAAAAAGGTAAATTGTCAATAGCTGATCTGGTTTTGTGCTCTGCAGATCATTAATAAATGCAGTTTTCCTGGCCTTGTGATTTCATTAAGTGCCTGGCACATGTCAGCTGCCACCGTGTTAGCTGCTAGTCCTCTTTTAGCCTCAGTTTAGTTACATGCCTCATTTCAAGTCCCAGGTGAGTCACTTACTAAATTTGTTATCAATGGCTAAAGATAATTAGTCTAATGCCTCAGTTTTCCTACCTCCAAAATGGGATGCATATGTGCCAGGTACTGTGCTAAATACTTCCTGAGTATTTTCTCACTTACTCTTCCCTCTTCCCCGGTGGAAGGGAAGGTATGTACATCTAAGGGGTACACATTGTTTATTGTCACTAGTTAGGATAATAAAACCAAGACTTAGTTATGGCAAGTAACTCAGTTTAAGTTGACTTATTAACAACATGTGCCTCTATGGTTTTTCGTAGGTTGAGGTTCAGTACTGGAGATTGAATTCAGTACTTGCTTGATAGGCAAGTGCTCTACCTTGAGCCATGACCTCAGCCTTTTTTTGTTATTTTTTAGATAGTGTCTAGTGTTTTGCCTGGAGCCATCCTGGACCATAATCCTCTTACTTAGGCCTCCCACCTAGCTGGGATTACAGCAGTGGATCATTATACCAGTTTAACAAAGTGTGACTATAAGCCACCAACTGTCTAGGTATCAAGTACTATTAGCAAACAATATTCCACATGAAATGAGATCCAGATTTCCAAAATTCCTTTCAACTTTAAAATTTGATTATTCTATTTGTCTGAATTCTTTGGTGGTCATCATACTCCTATGCAGTTTTTAACCTTCTACATCTAAGAGAGAGCAACCATGTTCTTTGGCATTGTTTATCTTTCCTATGCAACTATAGATTTTTGCTCTTTCCCATCTTTTTCATTCTGCCCTATAAGTGGCTATCTTCATTGATAGGACTTACTACTGAATAATTTATGTTGACTACCCTTAATGTAGGAAATACTGCAAAATTCATTTTAAATTGGAATCAGATAGAACACAATATGATTCAAGTAGCCATGATGGCCTACTATCAAAATTATCAGAGTAGATCTATCCATGCAAAGACCTGAACCTTTGCTGTTCCATATGGTATCCACAAACAGTGTGGCTACTAAATCCAATGTTAATCAATTCGGGATGTAATACACATGTGCATGGAAGCACTGCTAGGAATCTCTCTGCATAGCTATCCTTGTCTCAACTAGCAAAAACGTTTTGTCTTTCTTATTATTGCTTATGTCTTCTCTTCAACAAAATTGGAGAAGAGGGCAGAACAGGTTCTGCCTGGGAACGAGGGGGTGGGGAAGAGAGGGAGGGGGCAGGGGGGAGAGATGGCACAAACAATGTATGCACAAATGAATAAATAAACAAAAAAAATCAAAATTAAGTAAAACTAACATTAAACTTCCTGCATTACGTTCAGTAGCCGCGTGAGTGTGGCTACGAGCTCCCAGAGTGGGCAAGGCAGGTGCAGATTTTCTATCAGTGCAGAAAGTTCTATTA